AATATTGCGACTGTTAAAACGCCAAAATTCGGACATTTTTGACTGTGTAAAATGCGTTCAAAGTAAGAACGCAAGACGTTTGTTATAACGCGTCAATTTCACTTTTCTGACTGCTTGGGAATTGACGATGATAATTCAGAAAGAGTAGAGCAATCGAAACAAAAAACAGAACCAAAATATGTTGAAAATGGGAATAGTGATGGCAGTACTACTAAAGGACAATCCGTAAGTAAAGATGAATACTCTTCTTGTTGATTTCTCATACTGTTTAAAATAACGAATAGTGTCTGATGTGCATCTTCTCGTTTTATTGCAATAAAACAAAAATATCATAGATGAACAATTAAACTATAAAATTAGACAAAGACAATAGTTGAATACATAAGACAGTTGATAGAAACAAAGTATTTAATACGATTTTCTATTTTAGCAAGTTTTGACATTGGTTGAAGAAATTAAAAAAAAATTGCCAACTTTAGTCTTAAAATTAAAGAATACAATCGAGGATCAACTTAAAGGTAAATCGATAAAAGAACAAGAAGATGATGTACTGCAAAATATCGATTCATTTTGTGACATGATTCTTGAAAATATCAAAGAATTCAAAGAACTTATTTTGAGTGCTCGTCCATCACTTGATTCTGCCAATGAACCCAACTACGAAGAGCGTAAGGCAGCATATCGTAAATTACTCAAGCTTGGTAAAGCTCTTATGGTCAAAATGGAAATTACCCTCAATACAGTATTTGATAAATATAAAGAGTGTCTTGATAATCTATGGAAAGAAATTCGTGCTGGCAATGATTCGACCTCTATTCTCGATAAATTTCATCACGAAACAGAAGCATATTTAAAACAATCATGGGATCCTTTGTTTACTGATGTGGAAAATATGGAAGAAAACATTAATAATTTAAAAAAATCAAATCAGAACAAACAACAGACATAATTTTGTATTATTAATTAAAAAAACTGAATAATCTCTTTACTTTTCTTAAAACACAAAGATGTTTTATTAATGATTAAATTTTATTTTCATTCTAGATTTTTTTTCGACTATTTCATTTTCCAGAACATCGAATAACTTTCTAATTCTTGAAATATACGATATAATTATTAAATTTTAGAAGGATGAATTTAATATTTGATCGAGCAGAATCGAACTTAAGAGAGTCTACCAAAGATGGTATTGGTAGATTGCAGAACATAGTCACATCAATGGCAGAACGACGACAGACCAACAACGAATTTGATGACGAAGAAGCTGCGTTTCTACAACAAGTTGAAAAGACAAAAGATACTACAGACCAACAATGTGAGAACATCAAAAAATTAATTATCGGAAAACGACCTAGTCAAAACGCTTCACAGTCGGAAAAAGATGATTATCGTGAACTTCTTCGATATGCTGATCAAGGCATGGGAAAACTTCGAAATTGGATTGAAAATATTTTTTCTACACTCATTGTCATTATCAAACAAATTGTTACTTGGATTTGGAATCAATTTGTTGACATTGGAAAAAAAATTGCAAATGCCTTCAAAAGTGTCATTGATCTCTTTTTTTAATATACAAATAATTAAAAAGATTCTTCACATAAATAAAACAATATTTGATTGTATTATAAATAAATTTTGTTATTTTTTTATTCTAGATCGATTTTGATTGACAACATAACTTTTCGAAATCCAACTGAAAATTATCAAGTAATAATAATACGTTATTTTTTTACTTTCATTCTCAAAATATTTTGTTTGGAAAGGATCACCATCACCAATTACTCAGCATCAAAATTATACCAATGTAAATCATTTTTATTGTACTAACGGATGGATCACTTCTAAGACCATCGACGGATTTCTGAGTGAAATTCGATTGGGCTCGAATGATTATTTTTCAATTGAACATTAACTATAATACTTCAAAGAATGACACTATACTTCCGTTCTGTCAATGAATAATCTTATCGTTTTTTTTTCTTGTAGAAAATTTTAATAATAATCGAAGATCAAAATCAAGAAAGAATTCCAACATTAATTCTTAAATTAAAAAAAGGAAACACCATCTGGTGACAATAGAATCAAAAATTTCTTTCAACGTAGATATTCAAAATCTGCAGGCTCAAGTGATGAAATTGAATAACAAGTTGATGCTACTCTGAAAAGTTTTAAACATGAAATAATCAAAAATATTGAAGAGTGTCAACAAATCGTAATTTCAGCAAGACCAAATCGTGCAATGTAAAATCAAGATTCACAAGGTTATCGAGGTCATTAGGAAGATTACAAAAAAATTATTGCAATTAGCTAATGAAATTGCTAAACGTATAGAAGATTCATTCAATGAGATATTTTAACATTATGAACAATATATTGAAAACATTTGAATAGCTATTTGTCAACAAACAAGATGTGCGAGCTGTACAAAGATAATTCGATCAAGAAATGAACCAAAATATGAATCGATACTGGAAACCTATCTTTGATAACGCTGATCATTTCGTTCACGATGTACATCAAATGATTGATTCTAAAAATATAAGATAGATCTTTGTTAATCGATAGCCTTTTATTTTTCTTTTAAACTTGAAAACAAAACAATAATATTTTATATGTAATTCCATTTATTTCATTTCAAATAGAATGTTCGATAGAAAAGTGCAATGAGGATATTCTTTTTTATACAATTGTTATATATCAAAATACCTTCATGTAGAGAAGAAATAAAGATTTAACCTTTTTATTGTAATTATAATAATGATCAAACTGTTTTCGAAAGATTTTATTATAATGATTTATTATTATTAAACAAACAAGATTATCGGTGTAATAAAATGATAAATAAATGCAAATATTGATCAAACTGTTCTATTTCTTCTTATATATTCTCA